CTGACAAAATCTAGAAGAAAATAATCTGCCTACATGTGAGATAAAAGTGTGAAAATTATCAGAACAATGGCTTTAGATGGTTTCTGTAAACGAGAAATGTCATGTAAGAAAGAACAATGTCCTTGCACTCAAGGGCCCAGCCAGAACCGCAGTCCCTTTATGCTGCACTTTGCTGTTTTCAGCACCCTTTGGACATCAGCCACCCCAGAAAAAGAACTGGACACTTGGGTGAGAACAATAGCTGAGCTGTTCATGAAAAATCTCCTGCGCCAGGCAGTCCCACTCATCTGGCAGCTCCACACTGCCCTCCAGGGAAGGCCATCATCAAACTTACTGTGTTTCCCTCAGTTTCCCACCGGCAGGAGAGAATTCCTTGAGAGTAAACACATAAAGCAAGTAAGAGAAATACAGCTGACATAAACATGAAAATGTGTATGTTTCATTACATAAAAAAAGAAAAAAATAAATTATAAAGATTAAATATTCCATGTGCTCTTATTCATGCACAGCTAACTTCTATCCAAATGCTTTTTTCAAGCACCATATTAAAGGAAACAATTAACAATTTATGGATAATAGCTCATAAATATATGCAGCACTGTATGTCCAATGCACACAGATATTTCATCATGTAAGACATGATTATTTGGTTATGCATGATATGAAATGTGAGCTTTTTACAGCCATTCCAAATAATTTTGTGACACAAAAACTGCCGACAAGATATCTCATATTTAAATGTATTGCCCATTCCTGGCTGCAGAGCATGCTGTCCTGTGTTTATCAGAAGGAATACTTCCAAAATGCTTTGAGAAACTCAATTGTTATCATTGTCTGAACTTAAAAAGACTACACCTTTGTATAGAGTTCTGTCAAAAGAAATCCTGCTGCTTATCATAAGCACGTACTTCCCCAAAGTTCCTGTTTTTTTAGAAGTTTTATTAATTGCAAATGTTGTTTACTAGAGGAAAACCGTGACTGAAGCTCTAAAACAAAGAGAATAGTTGCAACTTTAATCCTTTCAATAAGCCTTTGTTTCCCATTGACTAAAAACTTCCTAAAGGAAGTAGAGCTGCGAAAATCCAGGAAGGAATTAGATTTGCCAAATTCTGTTCCTACTTGGATCTAGATGCAAAGGCTTTCTCATTCATTGTACAAATGTTTTAGCAAAAAGAGAATGATCAATTACAAAAATACACTTTTGCCAAGGTTGAAATTATTAATAGAAGAGCTTTCCCTATCACAGAAGGCACACTATGAACTTATATAACCTACAAAATAAATAGTATAGTAATATTTTAGCTGCTCCTGCAATTTTTTTCTTCAGTGGCATGTTTTTTTCTTTTTGTTATCTAAGGCAAATTTGAATACTGGCCTGACAATCATACAAGAACCTAGATAAGTAAACAAATATGGATGGGAAAAAATCAAAGGCAACCTCTTAATTAAATTAAGCATGCTTTGCAGCATCCAAAATAGGAGAAATCTTCAAAATCCATTTCCATGACAACAAGTAATTGCACACGAAAAAGTGTGCTATTGTGGCAATAAAGCTGAATTCCCTGGAGACCTTTCAGAGACACTACTGATTTGTTTTGTATTTTTTCCCCACATGCTCTTTTTATCTCTGTACCACTTCATGCTCTCTAGGTTTTAAAGTGCCAAACAAGTAGAGAATAGGTAAATATGTTCTGATTTATTCCATAGGGCAGAGGTTGTTTTAATTTCTCCTCCTAAAATAATTTAAAGGTGATTCCTATCTCCTTCCCATCAACACTGTCCATATTGCAACTTTTTATTTCCTGGCCAATAGCAGACTGGAGGATTAAAGAATATTTCAGCCATCATTTTTTAAGATGCTGTGTAAGGACAGGTTATGGAAAGTCCTGACTACTTTTAGATTCTTGTGGTTTCAGTGAAAATGTTGTTTAGCATATTTAAGTAAAAGCAGCTCAATATTTTAACAAATGTCAAAGGTTTGGCCAAGCTTAGCTGGACTGCTGAGTTGGAAGGGCTTCAGTTTCAGCAGCCATCAGCTGTGGTTCAACATCACACCCACCTCTGTGTGCTGCTGGCTCCAGCATCCCGACACAGGCTGGGTCTGAGCTTCAGCCTGAGCAGCAGCAAACGCCTCTGGAATCCTAACGAGACAAATTTATGCTCTGCTATGGAAACGCCCATGTACCATTTGTAACTTGAAACACATATAACTAAATCTTGGAATAGCTTTGGTTTAGGATATTACAGGTGCTAACGCCTAAGTTTCAAGGATATATTGGATATAATTATTCACAATGTCTTAAACCTTTCCCTATGATTTTCCTTCATATAATAGAGATATGTGGAGTACATCTCCAAAATCACTGAAAAGTGTTTTGATAAGATCAAATTGTAACAGGAGAAAGAAGTGTATGTAGGAGAAAAAAAAAGAGGTTTTCTGCATTCCACTTTTCATCACAACAGTTGACAACCCCCTCCCTCCCTTGAAGACGGGAAAGCCAATTTTAATTTAAACTACAAACTGTTGACCAGGCCTCAGCTTGGCTTTGCAATTCACTATATGCCTGAGGGATAAATTATTTAGCATTAGCACATGGTATGTCATGTCTCGTTACTTAAGTGGAGGATGGCCTCCATCCAGCTGCACCCCCGGGGCCCCCCGATTGGCCGTGGGTGATGTCATTTCCATGTGCTAATCCTGGGCCAGGCCCCGGGGGACAGCGCTGGCCGTTCCCCCCAGCCCCTCCGCCTCGCAGCCGGGCCCGGCCTCGGCTCTGCTCCCACTTATCGCGCCCAGGTTCGCCGCAGGTACTGCCCCCATGGCACGGGTGTCAATAGCAGCGCAGTGGAACAGAAGGTGCGGCAGACGAGCTTGCATCGTCTGCACGTGATGCTTTGTGCCCTTCACGGAGGATTTGTAATCAATTTGGTGAGACAGAAAATAAATTTTTGCTGCAGACCCAAGCTAAGTGGAGAATTTTGAGGGGTATTTGACCACATGCTAAATTATTTTTAATTTCATTTTCCCGTTTTTCTGTTTTCAGTGTATTACAGACTTTTGCTCAAAAACCCTATTTCCACACTGCAAGACAAAGGGACCGTGGACAAATAACCTTAGAGCATGAACTCTACAAAATGCTTCTCTGGAAGTTTGGCAATGGAATAATTAGCCACAGTGCCTTTTAAAAGGCCATATTTTGTTTTCAGTTAACACCCTCATTATATTAAAAGGGTTTTTCCTTCAGAACCACCTTCAGGTTATTTGCCCCAGAGGAAATACTCATGCTAGTCACCATTGGAAGGCTCCCAGCACAGAAATAAGGGTTACAGGGTTGGTTTATTGATTGAATTTCACAGCAAAGTCGGTGAAATGCCAAGAATTACAAAGCACAATTACAAAGCTCTGCATCGTGCAGGTGGTACCGTCTGCTCCGTGGTGAGGCACAAGATTTGCATCTGTCTGTTAGTTCAGGTTCAGGTTGAGCAGTGGTTCTACGTGACAGGTAACAAGAGACACAACTGACACAGAGAAATCCACCTGCTTTGTTACTGTTATATTAGCATTTAAGCACAATACACAGTACCCCACCATCAGAACTTCGTTTCTTGTGGTGAGGAATGAAAACTGACAGTGATTTGCCTTCTCTATCACTCAATTAATTCTTTTCAACAGTGCATGAGAAGAAAGGATTTTGTGAAAGCTGTGCGGTCTCATGGTGAAGTGATAATTCTCTGAGACAGAGGCAGAAGGGGAACTTTGCAAGGGGATTCCCACGAGAAGAGATGTTGAACCAGTGCAGTACAAAGTGCTGCAAAATAAACAACTGTACGACAGGAAATGAAGAACTCTAATCGATACCACAAAAGGGATTAGTTAATCAAATGTGAAAATTCAAAACTAGAATTTAAATCAGGACCGCTAACTCTTTCGCGCCCTGCACAAAATAAACAATGTATAGATTCGCCAGCTGCATCCAGCTTTGATTTCTGTCATTTCAAAGCTGGCACCTGCAGCCAGCTCAGAAACATAGCATTGCTTCAAGCACCCAGCTGGAGGGAAACACCTGCATTTGCACTATTGCTCATCCTCTCAAAACTACCAGATCTACTTGTAGCTAAGTAATAAACAGCTAATTATAAACAGAGTGACTGGGCAAGGGCTCAGGACTGCTACCAGGGTAAGCACTGGGAAGCCACGTTTGCGTGCCTGATAGAACAAAAGTGCATTTTGATTTGGCTCCACATTCATTAGCTGGCCACCTCACATGTCAAAACATGTTTATTTATATGCATATAAATATCTTCAAGGCAGGTGCCAAGAGAATGGTGCCAGACTCTTTTCGGTGATGTCCAGCAGCAGAACTAGAAGCACTGGCCATGAACTAAAAAAACAAAGTTTCCTCAACACGAGGAAGAACTTATTACGTTGAAGGTGTCAGAACACTAGAATAGCTGCCCAGGGTGTGGAGTCTCCCTCTCTGGAGATATCCCAAACCCACACGTTTCAGGTAACCCTGCATTGGCGGAGGTTGGACTGAGTGATATTCAGGGGTTCCATTCAACCCAAACAATTCTGACTCTCTGATGTTACTTCTGTCCACAATACGACGGACTGTGGAGCAGGGCGAGAGAGAAGCAAACCCGCCCTGCCTCAGCCCTGCCCAGCACAGCTCCGCAACATTCGCCTCAGCATCATCAGCACGGGGTTGGAGGCGCCGAGACTCGCCAGGATGGCGACAGCTCCCTGAAGGAAAGGCACGGCTCCTGAGGTGAACACGGAGCCGCCGCCATCGCCCCGGCCCCGCCCTCAGCCCGCCCAGAGGGCACGGCGGGCAGCGCGCGCTGCGGGAGACGGGCAGAGCGTGCCGGGGGCAGCTCTCGCGATACGTTCGGCCGGCACCGGGCGGGGCAGGGGCAGGCGCGGCGCTCTCGCGAGAGCCGGGCGCGCGGAAGCGGCGTGGCGTGCTCGGGGCTGTGTCGTGAGGGGCCGTGAGGGCCGCGCCGGTTGCCGCAGGATGCCGAGCGCCGCCGGCCGCGGGCAGGGCCAGGACCGGCGCCCGGAGAACGAGGACTCGTCGGCGGCTGATGTGGGTCTCCGCAGGGAACGCGGCGGGCGCGCTGTTGAGGCTCTCCAGGGTGGGGGGCTGGGCCCAGGCGGGGTTTGGCCGAGCCCGGGGGCACAGCTGCCCTTGCCTTTACTCTGCCTGCCTCTCCCACTCCCCCCTTCGCCGGGCCCAGCCTGTGATTCCCTGAAGAGCTCTGCTCCCCCCAGGAACACCTGGGCTGCTCCTCCACAGCAGGAGGTTTGTGCAGGGGCTCCTGCTGGCCTGGCAAGTGCTTCTGCCGTGTACGTGAAGATCTCAGCAGTGCTGAAAAGTTGTAGGCCGGTGTTTCTTCTAGAAGAAAAAAGTATTAACAATGAGCATCAGTTCATTTTGTTGTAAAGTAATTTTTGGTTATTCTTGCATCAGCAATAAGGAATTCCAAGTATTGGTGGCTTCCCTAAAGTTACAAATACGCCACAATTCATCAAAAGCAGACAAGCAAAGACCCTCCCCAAATAAAGTATTTAGTAGGAACTTTGGTTCATGTATTAAATAGAATAAAATAAATAAACCAAGGGATTTTATTTGGAAATGGACGGGCTTAGTTGGAAAACCAGAATTGTGATATTTTGGTGAAAATGCTGCCTTTCTCTGTGCCTTACCTGGTAGGTTTTGTTAATGTCAGGATCCACTGGGCTGTGACAATTACCTGTGATCTGCTGGATTTCTCAGTGTGCCTGAATATGGGAAGGAAATACTTAATCTATCTACTTATATAGGACTCCAAATATTTTTTGAGGAATAGGCTCTTTGTAGAGATAATCACACTAATTTTCTGTGTAACAGGTAATGATCCTCATGAATGGTTGCTGTTGCTGGAATTATTCTTTTCTTCCAGGACACAAATGCCTTTTCTCTCTTGTAGATCTCTTGCAAGTCCAAAATGCTTTTTTATTTCAGTATTATAGCTAATTATTTTGTGTTCCCTCAGTTAATTCTGTGATGATGTTTTTCAGTTTTCTTGTGTGTGCTTCTTTGATATATGTTTCTCACCTCCATTCTAGGATTATGCTAAGGAAAGATATGGAGTGTCATCAATGATACAATCCCAAGAGAAACCAGGTCAGTTGAAAAATAAAAAAAAAGTTTTTGCAAGAGAGGGGCTGGGAGAGAAGGAAAAAAGAAGTTAAATACCAAATATCTTCAGTACTTCCTTGAGAAACCATTTACCAAGCTTTCTCATTCGAATCCCACTGGAATTTTGTCACTTGTGAGACACTTGCATTTGGAGTGCCATGTCCAGTTGTGGTCTTTCCAGTGCAGGGAAGGCATTGACATTTTGGGGACAGTCCCATGGAGAGGTACCATGTTGCTCAGGGGACTGGAGCACAGGATCTGAGGGAGCTTGTTCGCCCTGGAGAAGAGGAAGCTGTGGGATGATCTTACAGTTTAAATCTGCTTAATGGTAGGGTGTAAGAAAGATAAGGCCAGGCTTTGAAGGTGTGTGTGGTCATTGGACTGGAGGTCATGGACACAAGTTGGAACAGGAAATTGAGATTGGAGGGAAGAAAAAAAAGTCATGAGTGTGGTTGACTATTGGAGCTCAGCTCTGGATTGAGAGGAATCTCAGTCTTTGTCCTTGCCTGGACTGTGCTTTACACAGTTTGTCAATTTTGCAGACTTTTTAAAAATTATTAAATTATTGTTATTTATAAGGTACTGAGTCCTGAGATGTCAGGTTTTTTCTGTGTTTGGAGTAAGTTCTGCTGTGATTTATTACAGCAGTGATCTCTCTCTGAGTATGATATTTGCTTATGCAGCCTTCCATTTCTCCTCTATATGGGCACCAAATCCATTAATATTGGATATTAATATTTATGGATTTTATAAGTCATACCACTCTGAAATCAGGAAATCCTGATTTTCTCCTGATGGTGAATTGAGATTTAGAAAAACTCAGCAGCTAGAGAACAATCTCCCAGGCCAATATTCCAAGAAATATTCATCTTTGTATTAAATTCAGTGCATGAAATGGTAACGAGGGAAAGTAACAGACTGGCTTCTTGTAACTTCTTCATGGTAAAATGTAAAAGAGCAACATCACCTGTGATTAGGTGATTGTTTTTCTCCTTTGTGTGGTTGTTTTGGTTAATCTCCCTTTAGGAAGGGAAATGCAGAATGTAGAGAAGAGAAGCAGTCACAAGAGCATTCATAGGTTGAAAACAACTGATGCTTTATAGCAAGAATGTAACGGGACAAGAAAATCAGCAGAGACTGCATTAGCAGTCATTGTTGAATAAAATACATTCTGGCTGCCAGAGAAAGGGAACTGGAGTTGAAATCACGTTGGAAGCAGCCCAGCTCTGAGTTTCCTCTCCTGGATTCACATCCCAGAGAAAACAACTGTGTGGAGGACCCGAGCTGGCAGACTGAGATGGCAGATCAAGTCTTGCTTTCATGGAGAAATGCCAACTGTCTCATATTCAAAAGAAACACTCAAAAGTACTGGAGAAAAAAATATGTTGATAAGGAAAATGGTGAAAGCTACAGGAAATTATATAAAAAGGCTGAGTATCATATTTAATTGTGTTGTCCCCTTGACCTTTCATCCTTGTTTAAAAAAACTTCTCCGTGTATGGACAGTGTTGAGTGAGTTTTCTATTTGGCTTAAAATGGAATCTACAGCACCCTTGCTCTTCTGTAGTTTTAAAAATGGTTATCCAGAACACCACAATCTGGTAAAAATAGAGAACAAAATGTCTGTAACAAAAAAGCTGAAGATCAGCCTAGTCCCCTCCATGAGACTAATGCCCTTGTATTTACAGATTCAATAGTTCCTGCCAGGGAGAGCTCTTGCCAAAGGTTAGGAGGGTGAGATATTATTTGTAATATCATCAGTAGCTCCCCTCAAGGTGTTCTTCTTGCCTTGGGTGTCTTGGAGGAGCTGCTGCTTGAGACAGGGAATGATGGAGAAGCACAGATGGGTGTGTTCCTATCTATCTCAAGAGTATTAATTTTGTTTCTGAAGTCTGCCTGCCATTTCTAAATCAGAGTAGCCAATGGTGGTGCGAGGTGTGCAGCCCACACGTCTGGTGAGCAGAGGCAGCACAGCCTTGGCTGGCAGCTCAGAGGGAGCTGCAGTAGGGGTGCTGTTCTGCTCACTCGAGTTGCTGCACTGTCCTGGAGTCACTGGCTGGACAGGGTACTCACACAGCTTACAGTGGTCAGAACAAGTTATTCTTCCTTTCCAAGGAGTGAGCTTTTTATCCTTTTGCCATGCTGATAGATTCTTGTTCCTCTGTAGGCAAATTAAAACTTTTGTCAGGTTCACAGCTTTGTTTCTCCACCCTGCTCTGTTGAGCTCACACACACCTGTGCCTTCTTTCTTGGCCCACTTAAGTCTTTCTTCTGCTTATGCTGGCTGCCCTGGCTATCTGATGTTCTTGTCTCCTGTCATGTCAGGTCTTTAAGTCCTTCCTGCCTGCTTGAGGCTATATGATTGCTAGTAAAATTCCATTTTTGGCCATTCCTTTTTTCTCCCTTCAGACCCATTATCTCATATCCCCTCCTTGGAAATGGCTTTCATCTAATACTGCTTTTGATTTTCAGGTTTTTATGTCGAGCTTGCCTTTTTTTTCAATTTTTCCCAGTACTTTGAAGATTCTGGCACTACACAGAGACAGCAGAAATATTGATCATAGTGTTCTAAATTCCATGATGCAGGATAAATTATCTTAGTAAACAGGTTGATGTGACACGCAGGGAATGGGGTCTGGAGGTGAAAAAGTGTTTTTTTATGTATCTCACACAGCTTTTTGGACTTTTATCCTCTCCTCCCACGTTTAGAAGAGGTTGGAGTTCTGAGAGAAAAATAAGGTTATTTAGTATGCTGGAAAGAAGAGTTTGGGCTATATATTAAGGGAAAAGAGAGCTACAGTGTCAGAGGAGGGAAACAAAGTGGCATAGTTGCTACATCCAGCTCATTGCACTGGAGCACAGTGACAGGAACAAGAGGCAATGGGCACAATCAGGAAATTTTTTTTCATGTGAGGGTGATCAGGGATTGGTACAGGTTGACCAGGAAGTGTTTCCCTTCTTAGAAATACTAAAAACCCACCAGAATATCATCTTGGACAGCTGGCTTTATGCTGCCCTGCTTGCACATTGCATTGGGTGGGATGACTTCCAGAGACTCCTCCCAGCCTCAGCCGTTCTGTGATTATGTGATCTGCTGTTCGAAGAAAGGGCTTTATGATGTCACCTTGTGGATATCTTTTATTACCCTTTTTATGAAAGGTGAAATAGTTTTTAATAATTAATACATAACAATATATAACAATTTTTATGTTAAATGTGTCTTGTTTACCTTTGGTGAAACACTAAGGATCCATGAAAGGTGTAACACCTCCTTCTGTCTTTATGCTTCTGCCTAGAAAATGTTTTAACTTTGTAACAATACAGTTTCAAGTTCACTAAGATAATTTTAACTGTCTGAACACCAAATCTTAGAAACACTGTGGTTTGTGATGGTTGCATGTTTCCTAAGTACTACACAAAGATATCAGAAATTGCTGGCAAATGATAACATCTTTATTTCCATTTCTCCCTTCCCAGCACACACACACATACACTCATATGTACACGCTTTAGGAATATATTTGAGTCAATTTCCTATCACATTTCTGTGTGCACTTCCATTCTGTTCTGGATTTGATATGTATCTGTGAAGAAAGAACTGCACTGCCCTGACATAAGCTAATAAAACTTTTCAATCCTCTAAAATCCCCAGTGCAGAATAATAGGCTTGCAGGGCAAGCTGTGACTGGTATTCAGAGACACAAGGAAGGAGTCCAGAACAGCAGATGGTAATCTGGAGCAGGCAAAAGTTGTTGTGTAGTTTTTTGGGGTTTTTTTTTAAAAAGTTCTGTGAGGAACAGTCTACAGTCGAAGTGTCTTGGCAAATTTAAATTTATTTTGAAACTAGGGAGAAGTTCGTGAGGAAAGAATCAAGCAAGGAGTAGCAGCATGCACCCAGCATTTTGTTAGTTCATAGTAGTTGTATACAATTTTTAAAGTCCTGATTTATTTAAAAATATTTTCCTTGATAACTTTTTTCCCTTTGCTATCCAAAATCTGTCCTTTTCAAGCCATGCATTGCTGTTGGTATTTAGCTTTGCAGCTATATTGGATTTGAAGGGTTCTTCTGATCCAGTCTTGGCTCTCACAGTGATAGTAGTGCTTGATCTGGTTGTCAAAGAGATATTCTAAAAATTTATATTATCCATATTACACAGTAGTACTCCTGGTGCTCCAAAATACTGTTGTTTTAATAAAAATAAATATTTTTAAGTTTATAATGCACACTTACTTGTGCTTTCTTTTTGTTCTTTCTTTTAAATAATAGTTATTTTATGGTTATATTCATCCTACTTATGTAAGGTAGATACAGAGAGTAGTCATGTCACTTCTGAGCCTTTGTTTTGCTGGGTTCAACATGGCAGCTTTGACCCTGCACAGTGCAGCAGGGCACACATCCCTTAGGCAGCAGAACTTCACAGTAATAAATGCAGGTAGTACAGTGAAGTCCTATCAAAACCAGTGTAGTCATGCAGGGTTCTGCCATCCGTGAACTACAGTGGGTTTTGCTGGTGGTAAAGTGCAGTTTGACCCTGCTGTGTAAGTCAAAAATAAACTTGAACAATTTAAAGCTACTGGATCTAGTGCAAGTGACTAAGAAAGGAAATGGGATCTTGTGTGTTTTCAGTTACACCGTTGATTATATAAATAATCAAAATATTAAAATATATTAAAAAGAATGTTATTAAATAATATTAATAATGTTTTGGATTTATTATCAGTTTTATCAATAGCTATTATAGAAAGTGGATTTTGAGTTTAAAGTGAAAAACTTATAAAATGTGTGTTTTTTTCTGAAATTCAGATAGAGTTTTGGTTCGCATAAAAGACTTGACAGTGGAGAGGGCTGATGAAGAGGTTTGGGTTCGTGGCAGAATTCACACCAGCAGAGCTAAAGGTGAGAGACCTCCAGGGTTTTTGGTTTGGTTTCTTCATGTCGTTAGTACAACCTTAATGTTTATTTTGATTTCGTAACCTGTTGCTTATATCTTGCATTCAAGAAGACTTTTCCACCTGGTTAGTCGAGGTTGCCTCAGTGTTCCTTTGACTGGTTCTTTTCTCTTTTTCCACCTGTCTTTTTCCCAAGAGTGAAAAGCAGATTTTGATTTTAGCTGTGTGGAAATCAGTTACTGTAGTAAAAGTTAATTTTTGTTTTACTGTATTGCTAAATAATATATGGGCAATTGTAAATCATAGTAATTAAAAAATGTCATCATTCTCCTTAACATGTTAATAGTTGTGAGATAAAACACTTCTAAGTTTCTACAGTAAAACATACTTGTGTTATAAATGTATCCGTTGTCAGACAGGTCATATTTCTTCTGCTGCACATGTATATTTTCACCACACCTTTTCTGTGACAGGAAACAAAAATCTGTTAAAATATCAGAATTCTTACTTTCGGTTACTGGTATCTAATTATATCTATATGAACTTGAAATAAGAAGCATCATCTTTCTTTAGCAAGACAAAAGGAAACTCTTTTGTAGGCTCTCAGCAGTGTGGGCTGTTACACTTGGCTGTCTGACAGCCATATTTCTTCCCTGGAGTCAGAAGTTCCCTCTGGAGACCAGGTTGCCATATGCAAACTTCAATAGGCTTTGGCCTTTCCAGTTGACATCAGATGCTGACAACTGTTGTGCTGGTTTCAGTTATGTTTGGCAGCTCTGTAGATATAAATAACTTGTCTTTCCAATGTCTTTCCAAGAATTGAAAAAAAAGGCGTAAAGAAATTATCTTCACAAACGAAACTTAAGAGTAATCTTAAAATTTGGAATGATGCAAATTAGGGATTCTCACAGTACAGAATATCATCAAAGATACCAGATTCTTTTCCCTTTTTGAGAATTCATTTTCTTAAAATGTGTCCCTCTTAATGTCTGTGCTACAGTCGGTTAAAATAAGGGACAGCATTAGAATATATAAATATGATGCACATTTTAATTTGTATTACAGTCTTTAACTTGAGGAGTCCTCTGTGATTTCCTCAGTAATTTAAATCTCTTAGTTAATTAAAGAAATGATCAGCTTCAAAAGCTGTGAAAGCCTTGGTCATTACATCATGAAGTTGTTCAGACAGAAGACACTCCACCTGATTTAAATGTTACTGTTGTTACTACCAGTGTATTAATTAGAGTACCCTTATGGCTTTTTTTTTCTTTTGCAATTATAGGAAGAATTTAGGTTATTAACAGAATTCAGGAAACTAGAAGCAGGTATCTGTGCAGACCTTGAAAGCAATGTAAAGTTCTGTAGTTGTTGATTGCTCTCTGTAATACATTGATATGTGGGATTTTGTATGATGTATTTATGTCAAACACAGTAACATCTCTGTAACAAGGCAATAGGAACTTGAAGTTGTTATAATCCTTCACTTTGACCTCAGGAAAGGCTTTTGTTTTTGATGAAACAATAGTGCTTATTTTCAAAACTCTTTAGCACATCGTGAAGAATGAAAGCAAAAGGAGTTGATCATGGGCATGAATGACCTGAATTTATTGATAGTGTCTCTTGTTCCCTCTTGGTGTGACAACACAGAACAATTCTGACGTTCAGGGAGTGCTGCTAGGGAATGCTGGATGCTTGTTTACTTAAGCTTTGGAGAAAGAATCTTACAAGAAAAGCAAATGTTTAAAAGTAAAAAGTAATATTAGCCTTTCCCACACAAAACATGGCACTATTCCTACCACTGTGGAAAGGAAAGCCTTGCAGGAAACAGGAAAATCTTTCACAAAAACAAGCTTTAGTTTTTCTCAGAAACTTGAATTTGACTCCTAAATAACCAACATAGCATTTATTTAACCCTGTCTGGTCTGACCAATAAACCAAAAAAAAATTAATGGGAACAACTGCAGATTCCAGCTGTCTCCTATAGCAAGTCACTCATGGAATCTGATGGAAATTAACTGAAGGATGTGTAAAGAATGGGGTGTTGGGAATTTTTGTGGGTTGTACTAAAAGTGCACAGGGCCCTATGGTTTGTATCATAGATTGAATAAATGTTATTTCTGGCCTTATTTTAAAGCCAGCCTAATCTACTCATCACATTTATCATTGAAAAGTCCTTGGGAAATTGGTCTGAGTTTGGCCAGGCAGCTGGGGCTTACACAGAATGTTAGACCTGAACTAGATTTTGTGTTATGAATCCAAATCTAATGAAATCTATGATAATCTATGAAATATCTGAACATAAGAATTCCACCAAGAGCAATTAAAGTCTTGGTCCAAATTTTATAATAAACTAGGTAAAGTCTTCTCTTCGCTGGCAAATATATGTAACCATCATTTAACTTATACAACCAACATTTTTTTACTCTTTATACATTACTTCCTTACAGCCTTTTCTTTCATAAGGTCTTGTGTGATTTGGTACTTTTATCCAACACAGATGGTGGATTACTCTTTGGTTTATGTGCTTATTTTTGATGGAATTCTCTTATTTGTTCAGTGCCTGAACATTCTATGCATTTTACTGTCAGTTGTTTTTATCAAATTTTTTTTGAAACTCTTCGTGTTTTAGGCATTCTTGTGGGACATGGTATTTTTTTAATAGGAATTTAGGGTAGTTTAGTGTTGAATGTGAGTAAACTTGGTGCTATACTTCTCACCTAAACACTACGCAAGTATTTCGAAACACATAGAGAAGATCCCATTGTCCAAATTTTTCTTACTCAAATGCTTCCTTTTTCTCATCTCTTGATCTGGAAAGGCTTCTAAGCATGAGCTAGATTTGATTATGGTTGGTGTTTTTGATACTTTATTTTGAATGCCTTCAGCTTTCTCAGGAAAAGATCTCTTCCCTCTTTTAATCTTTGTGGCTGGGATGTTTTAACCAGTCCTGTGAGTGAGGTCCGTTTGATCACTTATCTTCTGTGTGATTAGAAGTGGTTGCATTTTGCAAGACGTCCTCTTCCTTCATGAAAACAGCTACTGTTACTCATGGCAAAGACATTTGAGTCCTTTTATAATGCAGATACTCATCAGACTTCCAGTGTTTGGGATTATGTACAACCGCCAGACTTTTGGATGAGGATCTGAGCAAGCTGGTCTTGGTGAAGATGTCCCTGCTCATGCAGGGGATTGGACTGGATGGCCCTTAAAGGTCTCTTCCAACCCAAACTGTTCTGTGCTACCAGGTGCTTTCATTATTTCCCTGTCTTAGAGCTGAGTTGCATCGTTTCTGTCTTCAGCTGTGCATCTTTTGTTTGAACACCTAGTACATCAATGCTGAAACTTTGATCATATTTTGCTAAATTGTTTGTGACTAAAGTCATGGAGACAGATGCTATCTCGTAGGAAATATTGTATCCAGCCACACTGTAAGAAACTCAAATGTCAGAGATGTGTGATATGACTCCCTTATCTAAAGAAACTCGGCATATCATGTCGTGTGGAAATATTGTACTTTCTTTGTTGACTTGCTGGATCTGAAACACAGCCTGTATTTTTCTAATTTAAATCTGTTATTTAATGTTTGCCTTCAAGAAATACATGCATCTGTACCATATTGGATATTGCAGCCTCTGGAATACAGAAATAGTTATACTCTGTTTTCTGAAAATACGTAATTAATCTTTTTGTTATAGGACAAGATTAGTTATTTCCAATAGTTATAATTAGTATTTAATAATATTTTGTACTAATTTCGTATGTTGCTTTTATTTCCATGAGATTGTGTGTCAAGGGTTCTGCATTGATTTTCTGATACTCTTGAATTATCTGTAGCTGTGTTTAAAGGAATGGTAATTGCATAATTATAAATGAAAACTGTAACTGGATTTTTAGTGTCACTTTTCAAGTTAGGTATGTGTTAGTTTATGGTTTAGAGTTTAAGTCAACTACAACGGGGAAGTAGCTGTCTATAACAAAACTTCTGGCTTCTTCCTATTTTCACCATGTCAGTGGAAATATTCTGAGTCAGAACTTGAGATTCTGAGTCAGAACTTGAGGTTAAAGTCAGACTGGTGCCTTTATCAGATACTGGTACACCAGTGAAACATTTGTTGTTAATTTCTCTCTAGGAAGAAGGATTTAAAATCACCATATTTCCTTAAAAACTGAGTTAAGGAATAAATTATTATTAGAGATGTGAGAAGTAATATGAAATGATTGTAACTGTCAGCTACACAGATGAGAAAGAGATCTGTTGACTTGGAAATACCCATTTTAAAAGTCAACAAAATGCAGTATGTTCTTTGTACATTATTATTAATTCCTATTAACTTCTTTTTCCCTAAGCTGTTCATGAATAAATTGCTCTTACAGGAATTTTTAATTGGGTCTTTTAGGTTCTTGTCATTCTCTAGAATCAATACTCCTTTTGTTCCCCTTCATTCTGAATGTGTGGTGTTCAATAGAATGAACATTGTTGGTTTAGTCCTTGTGGTGCAAAATCAAGCCTAATTCTCTCAGCTTTGTGAAGTGAACTCTACAGCTTTGATTTGAGAAGATGGAAAAAACTTCTTTAAAAATAGTTTACACTTGAAGTAGTTGTGAGCAAAGAAACAAGGAAAAGTATGATGTATTTCTTGCAGTTGAAGAAAAAGTTACTTTAAAAGTTACGATTTGTTGTTTTTCTTTTGTCTAAATATTCTTTATCTTGGAAGGCTTACTGTTATTTTTAGAAAATGTCCATTCAAATGTTTATTTATGTAAAGCACAATTATTTAATTTATCTCAATGTTTGTGCGTGTACGTGTAGAGCTGAGGAGTTTGAAGCAGCTTTTTGGAGGGGTGGCAGCAATGAATGAGAGAGAGAGACACACACTCTTAAAAGCTCAGTTTATATTTAAGGAGTAAAGAATTTTTACTCATTCACAAAGACCTCAAGTAACTTGTCCTTAATACACCTGCGTTGTTTCTCTTTGTATTCAGGGAAGCAGTGTTTCTTAGTCCTGCGTCAGCAGCAGTTTAATATCCAGGCTCTTGTGGCTGTGGGACAGCATGCAAGCAAGCAGATGGTAAAGTTTGCTGCCAAGTAAGTAAGCAATTATATCCTGTTGTCAGAGTAAACAATGGTGGGAACCAGGACTCCCAGGGGTTGGGACCATTTTCACACATTAACATCAATGCTTCGTTTGTTTTAAAATGTAGTTATTTAAATTGTCAGCTCTCTATTGCGTTGAATACATTATACTGACAAAAGATAAAATAGAGAACAGGCTTGAAATTCATTCTGAACTGCTGAAGCAGCATTCTCTTGCCATAGACAACCTACATTTTCTTCCAAGCTGGCTAACAAAAAGTCTGGCAAGCTGAGCTTAGTGGGACACTTGGTTTGGTGTGTGGTGGTGGTGTGTGTCTGCTCATGTTCAGCGTTTTTCTTCTACCAGACATGCAGCATAGTAATACATTTTATACTTGAAACTGATGTGAAGAAGTCCCGTGTTGCAAATGACTTACTGAATTGAAGAAATTTAAAGTAGCTTCTGTGCACAGGGTTAGTCTTACCTTCACCTTATTTTTGGCACTAAAATTTTAATTTTAAAAAAAATGGGCAGGGGTAATAGTTAGACTTGCCAATTGAAAAAAAATGTTTGTTGCAGGAATTTGAATTCAGTTATTTGGTTTGTTTTGTTCCTAAATATAAAAAATTACCTTTCCCTTCTGTTTGCCATCAAGATTGTGCTTTTAGGTTATCCTGTAGTAAATATGCTTGTGTGACAAATGTGCTTTATAGTAGAGCTTCAATCATGTCTATCTGCTTGTTCACAAACAGAAATGTGGATCAATTCTGTGTAGTTTATTTGGTGCAGAATATGTTTAACATGTGGCACTTGAGTTGCTTCTGTGCAGTTCTTGGCACTATTCTCATGCCTGGGAAGGGAGCCCCCACTAATTAGCTGCAAAAGTGCTACAGCCTTCAACCTTCAATATGTCAGGGAGGGGAAGGATTCATTATAGTAGAGACTTCCAGAAGCCGAGTGAAGAAGGTTGGGATAATGCTTCTGCTGATGGGGTTCAAGGCAACAGGAAAACAGAACCAGCAGTGTTTGTTGTTTGGCGGTTCTCAGTGCTGGCAGTGCCAGTGTGAAACATGCTGTTCACAGGTGTTTATGAGCCAAAGTGAAGTGTTCTGTTTCTTCATGAAATGATTTGTTCTCTCCAGTGCTTGGAATCTCTGAAAAGAATTAAGTCTCTAATGTACTTGTTCCCTAATTCATCTCCCTTGAAATTCCCAACAGTCTGCCTGTACTCCCTCGAGAAACTTGTGCTACAGGACAATGGAGCAACTCTTAGAGTTGTGATGCACGCTCTTCTATTCTCCAGTTATCTGTAATATCTCTGTTTTTCAGTTTTCTTTGTTCTGCCCTCCACAGCTGAGTTTCTTACACTTCATGATTGGTAGATCTTTGTGGTTAGGAGCTCATGAGAGGGAAGCTGATTTTTACTCTATTTTTCCATATGCTAACTGCCACTTATAAACCTTCTGTGATGTCTTTTTGTGATTCACTGATCTTTTTTTACTCAATTAGTTTTCTGCCAGATTAGTGATTTAAATCAGGTCTTGGAGGTCCAGAGCTAACAAGGAATGGTAAATGATGGAAGAGGGTATCTGGAGCAGTAGAGGGTAAAGCTCCTTTCTCTTCTGGCAGCAGTGAGATGATAAATCAGGCAGAACCTCATCCTTAGGTTCTTCCCAACTCTGTCATGTTCCCTCTTGTTGAGACAGACTTGAATTCCTCAGAGTAGCCAGACCAATGATGATTATACTGTGTTTTGTCTTTTCCTTCTGCTCCTTTTTTGGGATTGCATTTGCTAGCTGAATCCTGGTACTTCAACCTCACTTTGTAGCATTCACGTTTCCCTTATTATTTGTCCTTCTGAAATTATTACATGCTCATAATCATGTTCTCTGAGTGGAGTAACTCTGTTACAGCCTTCTGGATTTTCTTTTGAGGGTTTGCTTTTGTATTTTTTAATGCCATTAGTGCAATCATCTTCTCAGGATTCCTTCCTACCAAAAACCTATGTTATTAATATCCTGCCATGCTCTCACTTTTTCCAGTGTTTCATCTCTTACAATTTTCTCTGCTGTGGCCCCTGCAGCTGCCTCTTGTCTTTCAGAGGCTGTTCCCTGCCTGGTGAGTGCACGTGGGGTCACTGTGTCAGCAGCACCTGAAGCAGAGCCCCAGTACGTGCCTGTCCTCAGTCACTTCGCTGCTGCCTTTCACCTGCTCTGGAGTGATCCCATTATTTCTAGCAGATGAGGCTGGGCTTAGATGTCTAAAAATAACTATCCTGTTTCCCTGCCTTTCTCAGTGTCTTTTTTTATCATCTCATTTCCTACGTGTTAAATGAGGAAATACACATTTATTGAAGAAAACATCTAACTCAAATATCTTAAATTTCAATTAAATTTTTAAATGTTTTCACTGATAGTATGTAAACTATATTTTCCATGGTTGTTTTCTCATATTCTCATACTATGTCCACAACTTTAAAAAAAATAGTTTGTAAAATTCTTGATCTCTAATTTTTAATTTTAGTTTATTAAATAATGAGCGTTTTCGTGCAAATTTTCATACATTATAAACAAACCAGTTCCTCTTTTAAATATTGGGACATGGAAACCAAGAACTTTCATAATTTTCTGTGGTCAGCAACATTCATACAGTAATTATCACCATTATCATTAGAATGTGAGTTTTCAGTGAAAGACACTTTATAGTGGTTCAACTCAGGTTTACAAAGAAGTTTCTGTGGGTTTAACCATGGAAAGTTTGAAGTTGAACTTCCAAAACAAACATAGCACAGAGCCAGTTGAGATACTGGATTGGCAGTTGTGGAATTGTTTTTCTGTCTTTTATCAGAAAAAACAATTAATCCAGTCCTGCAAGGGATGCTGTGTAAGGGAAACAGTTAATTGTCTCTTTTAAACAGCAGACGTGCCAGTCAGTAATTTATCTTAGTAATTTATCAATCTGCTTTTTTCCATCAAGCATTGGGTGTGGCTGCTTTTGGTTTTCTTTCTCCTTTTCTATCTCAGCACTGAGCCTGTCAGAGCCTTGTGAGCTGATAGAGCAGTTGGGAGACTTGGTTAACAGGTTCTAATTTAGCTGATCCGAAAATTTGCCCTTGCACAGGAAGTAACTTGATGGCTCTTTGTAGTAGACTAGAGAGTAAAAATGCAGGGAAGAGATTAAAATGGAGGGGAGAAGATGGTTGTATGAAAACTTGTATGAAAATAATTCACAATGCAGAAAAAATATATGTAAGTTCTTTAGCTAGATAAATTGGTAATACCAGGAAGACTGCTGGATATTGCAGAATGTTTTCTTTCTCTATTTCTGTTTAATTTTTACATCAGAAGGCTGGAAGAAAATGTCAAATTGCAGCTAAGTTTGCTGGTGACACAGAAATTGGACTGGTAAATAGGGACTCAGGAGCGTGTAGTAACCAGGGTTCATTTAGAATAATCACTTCAGTGCTCTTCAGTGTGAATTTATACCTTTGCGATTGTTTGGTCAGATTTGGTGGGTGTTCAGGATTAATAAATAGAATAGTGCAGAGAGAAATGTGAGATTGTGATAGATAACTGACTTGACAGGAGCCCATGCAGTTCACTGACTTTTGGAAAAGAGGAATAAAATGCCATTAATGCAATATGTGCCTGATTTTAGGCAATTCTGGAATATTTTGTCCACTTTTGTTGTCTTTGTGTCTGAATACATGTCAGATTGGAAAAGTTTGATGGTGAAGTTGCAAGAAGAACTGATACAAAGGCAAATCTGCCTTCTATGAGACTAAAGAAAACTCTGTTCTTTCCTGGAGAAATTAGTGAGTGATTTAAATCCCAGTATGGTGGTGCCTATGCAAGATTTTCTACCAGTGGGGGGGTTCTTTGCATTGCAGATACAAAGGTATGACACGTTGCAGTAAACAGGGTGAAATTAGGGGAATTTAGAAAGAAAATAAAATGTAGGGTTTTTAAAGTGAAAATTACTAAAAATGCATTGTGGATTTTGTTACTTAAAATCTTTAGAAGCAGATAGGCTTCTTTTTCCCCCAGAAGATATCCAGGTTCAACCAAGTGTTAGAATGTTGGTTTAGGAAACCAATCATTACATTTTTAGAATGAAGAGAATAAGAATAGGTGTTTACCTGGCCTTTTTGTATCCAATTTCCTTTCGGGGGCTTCATGCATATTTGCTATATTTGTGCAGACAGGATTACAGTTGCTGTTGTTGAGTACAAAATGTTTATACTCTTGACTACTTACAAAATGCACTCATTTTTTGAAAGTAAGCCATTGTCTTAACTTCCACTGGCATTCAGATAAAGGATTATTGATTATTATATATTAAGACAATTTTAAAATATTTTAATTTAATAATGTATTAATATAATTTGTGCAGTCTGCTTATGGAAGGGTGTTGAAGAAAAAGCAACAAAATGTCAGAATAAGTATAGATGGTATAGAAGAAGTAAGCATTGTCTGTTTAAAGTCTATAAATAACCAAGTTTCTTCCTATTCTTCAGGCTTTTGACCAAGAAAGTGTTGATTGTGATTCACTTTGGGAGGCCAGCATAGGGCTCAGCTTGCAACACAAAGCTGTTGATGAAAGATGTTGTTATAAAGACTGCAAGAATGCAATCCTGTGGTTAAAAGAGAAAGTCTTGGCTAATAGACATGCAGCTAATTAAGAGGGACCTAAGGCATCTAGTGGACACTTTAGAAATTATAATCTTAATTTTTTTGAACATTACGTACAAAATAAGTTCCTATACAGAGAAATTTTTATTGTTGGACTTCATATATCTGTATACTTAAATAGTTTCTTTTTGGATTAAACAATGTAAAGATGTCATCTGTCTTTTCTTAATGCCTTATGCATCCTATTTTCATTTCTGGTCCCTGGTAATATTAATTACAGTAATAAATGTTGTTGTCCTTAATGGTAATGGTGGTACTGTTTTTCTGCTACTTGTTGACTTTCATTGCTGTTTGGGGGGTTTTTGTTACCCAGGGGAATTTTATCAAAAATCACCTAGGTTACTTATTCCTGCTGCTGTGGAGAATACTTTGCTGTAGTTACTGGCATTTTATTAAGACATCTTGTTTCTTGTTGGAACTTGAACTGAAAATGCCATTTCAGTAACAGCCTTGTTATTCCCTGCTGGGATCAAAGCAGCACCTTCCAGGTTTCTGTAGTTTATGTTTGATGCAGTGTTATGGACTTCAGACACTTCCAGATCTAGTTCTTGCTGAGCATGGTTCAAACAGAACTCAAAACACAAGCTTTTATTTCCATACTGGATTAAATGTGGTGTTTAAATGAGGAAAATCACATTTTTGAATTATCAAATGAAAGTTTAGAGGAAATGATGGATGTTTATAAATACGAAGATTGTCACAGTTGGATCTTTCCTAGTGCTTTTGTGTGCCCAGGAAATTACCTGAATATTTGGTTGTCGGGACCTATACAGTTAGGAACTCAGCTGAAATACATCTTAAAATTATGGCAAATGTAATGACTAAGGAATGCTACCGTTTAAAATATGTTCCAGATCAAGAAACATGTTTTAATTACAACTCCAATTTAGCGATGCAGAGAAAGCTCATTTTATCCTATGTGCAAAGTTCTAAAGTTATGCAAGTTTGCAAAGCAATATTGCAGTCACTAGTGATGTAAAAGTCCGTTTCTTCCTCTATTTTTAACCTGATATCATTTTTCATGTCTTGAATTCCTTGCATGTTCTGATCAGAGCTCTGTACAGACTTCACTAACAGTTCTCATCCATGGGACCACCAATCTAATTATGAATCCTTCATACAACACATTTCTATTTAACTATTCTTTTCTTTTTCACAGCACAGAGAATTTCCTTCAATAAGGTTAAAACATTATATGCTGTTATTAGTGAGAAAGCTTTTATTCAGCAGATTAGAAACTGATATTTTCAGTGAAGACACTGCTATTCGTATAATTAGTGGTTTTTGCTGGACATTTGCCATGGAAAAGGAAGCAGGAAAAACAGAGGAGAACTGTTTAGGGAAAAAAGGTTCACATAAGAGTAAACCTTTAATTCTTTTAAACATTCAGACATTTGAAAAAGCAAAGGGAATTTATAGTTACACTTAATACTGTTTTAGCCTCATACAGACTCAAAGATGCTCACGCTGTCTTGTACTGGTGCCGCAGTGTGTGTAAGGAATTTCAAACAGAATCATTTGTAGTAGAAAGTACTTGGTGTCATTTCAATTATTCTTTCTCATATTTGTTGCCTCTGCTAAACTAATGGAGATGGAGGCTCACCTATAACTAAATGGATTCAGAGGCTCTCAGCCTCTGCTTTGTACAAATTTAGTCATGATTTGAGCAACTGTAGCTCTTCTAAAGTGTAAATGTACCAGAAGAACATGCTGCTTAATTTAATGCAGTACATGGAATTACCTAATGGTTAAGCAAGTTAAGCATATGAAGCACCCTTGTCTGTATTAACTTTAGAGCAGGTAATAAGATCTATCACCTAAAAGTATTACCATCAAAAAAAAGTGTAATCAGCTAAAAGACTCAAATTTGGTTTTTTATTTTTTCAGTTAATTGGAATTTACTTATAGCGCCACTATTAGGTTTTGAGAATTTGATGCTTGAATTTTCAACTGTTCCTTTAATATCATCAGTTTTTTCAAGATTTTTATTCAAAGTAAACAAAGTGCCAGCCTTGTAAAGTTGGAGGTTGTTAATGGCTCTTTGCTTTGCTGCTTTCAGCAGTGGCCAGCTTGTCTGATGACATCCTCACTCACCTCTTATTATTTGCAGTTAAATTGTGGGCCTGATGCTTTCCTGCTGTCTAAGGGCTTAGGTGGTCAAGTGATGTACATAAAGTGCTTTTCAGCTTTCTCAAGGAGGACACACAAGTGTAAGATTAATTGTAACGTTAGTTTTCCTAAAAAGGAAAGTAATATTTTTAAATATTTGGCCTCTTGTAAACTAACAGAGAGACAGAGTGAAAATATATTTCCAGTGAGGGTGAGATTATCTGTAGAAAAGTGCTGGTTTAAACTTCAGTACCTTAAATGGGTAAATAAAATCTGCACATACAAATTCTTTTCTCATCTCTGACTCTTGAGGCTTTTGTTGTTTGCTTGTAGCACACACACTTTGTATCATATCTTTGGAAGATTTTCAGGATGGTGTGTGGTGTTGTAATATTAGTGGAAAGCAGTTAGGATGTCCCCTCTCACAGAGAAATTACTTTGGAGCATCTTGCATCTTTCAGTAACAAGTCATGTAATTTAGACAAGCTGAACTAGTTTTGATTTTCCCCTTCACTTCTAGGAGTCCCTTCAGTTTGTTGTTCTGCTGGTGAAGACACGTCTTGCAGATAATTGCATCAGCTGACACATGGAAAAGTGTCTGTGGCCTAGAAAATGAGCTCTGCCACTTGTCAGTTTATGTATAAACACACACAGAGAATGGGCCAGCACTGAGCTCAATCATAATTCTTTATCTCACAAGTCTTCCATCCTGGTTTGAATTCATTGTGGCTGGGGATATTTCAGCACCCTCCTTCATTAATCAGTTATTAGATAAAAAAGTAACTTCAGATCCTTGGCTCTGTTCTGTTGTTCAGCAGTCCATACAGTGCATGAATGGTGCTCAGTGCTGAGGCTGCTGCAGCGTGCACTGGAACTTACTGAGCCTTCTGTCCTCTCTTTATTGCCAGCATCACCAAAGAGAGCATTGTGGACATAGAAGGCGTTGTGAGAAAAGCACATCAGAAAATTGGAGGTTGTACTCAGCAAGACGTTGAGCTTCACGTTCAAAGGGTAAATTTTTGAGCAAATGGAGCACTGGTTAATTGTTTGATAGATTATCTGTTGAGACTGTCTGTCTGTCTGCATACATAAACTTCGTCAGTAAGGAATCCCATGCCAGGGAAATAAACTGCTTTAAGCTACAGATTTCAGTGTTTTATATGTAAAAATTAAACACTTCTGGTTTTAAGATACTTGGAGTTTATATTTCCCTGGTTTTATCTGCCATTTGAATTACAGTATCAAGTAAAATAAAGTATCTCACTAGAACAATTTGGCTAGGAAAGCTTGTAATTCTAGTTTTTGATTCTTAACTGCAGTAGATACTGGAATAAAAAGTCTGCTTCTTTTTAAGTGCAAGTCAGGAGTTTCTTTATCAGAGTTACAATCTTTCCCTCCGTACAATGGACTGGAATACATAATTCTCACAGAAATAAACTCTCAGTAGCTTAACAGTATGGAAACTTTTGAAATCTAAAGTTCCTGGAGCTTGTGCTGTAGGGCTGGAGGAAGTGTAACTTTATAATTTGTTTAAATAGAAAGCATATTTAAACCTTTATGTAATATCCTTTCCTTCTAAAGGTTTTTAACTAGACTGTATGCCTACAATACAGCTGAAACCCAGTCGCCTCAGGAGTAGAGCACAATGGCTATTATAGCAGTGAGGTAAATCTTAGCTAACAGCATTGGGGAAAATCTGCAGATTTTGAAGAAACATGTTTTAATATGTGTGCAGATTATCCTATGCTTGATTTTTCTGAAAGAACATCAAATTCACTGCTCCTCTAGGAGCAATACTAGACTATAAGGCACTGCAAGGTGGTTTTCATTCTCTGATTGTATTTTAGTTATCTCATAAAGTTTTGAATCTGAAATATCTTTGAGCTATATTCAGATGATAAGTAAATTATACATTAACAAGGAGAAGAACAAGATGATCTTGCTGGAATAAGAACCTAAAACTCAGTGAAATCTGGTATATTCAGAGCTGGCATTCATGCCAAAAAGCTTGTCCCTCAGGCTGTATGAACTTGCGTGCTCAATTTGGTGCTTCCCAGAAGAAAAAAAGATACTTCAAATCTTCCAAAAGGAGAGCAAGAACTAAACACTTCAGTATTGTCATGAGAATTCACAGTGTATCTCAAGTACTGGAATAAAATCACAGCCTTAGAGCAAATAGCCTATGCAAACATTGTTTCAAGTCTCTGCTAGAAATATGCTTTTGTAAATCACACCTCCTTTTGAGTAGAGCCTCATGCTATTTCTGTTCTCTCTCAATTTCAGATCTATGTGATCAGTTCGGCTGAACCCCGGCTGCCCTTACAGCTGGATGATGCTGTTCGACCAGAAGTGGAAGGAGAGGAGGTGAAAACTTTACATCCTCAAATGCTTTTTATTGTTTTGTAGCTGAACAAAAGCACAAAAGCCAAGCAACTTCCTTAATGTGGTGATTCTGGGGATTGATTAGGTTTGCATTTTACTTCCTTTGTGCTACCCAGAACTGTGTTCAACCTCTCTATAGCTTTGATGTCTGTAGAACTGCACTGGAAGGTCAAAACCAGAGGGTTTTCAGTCTTGTGTGTGTCTGCTGCATCCTCATAGTTGGATTCTGCCTGTGACCTCTGGGAGAAGTTACACCTTAAACTTTGCTATGCTGCCAGTTTGCTGTATGTTCTTTCTAGAATGATCTAGAAGTTCTGCTGAACATAGAAATTACCCTTCACTTCTAGCCAGAGGGTGTTTTTCTCCATTGATTTTGTTTTGTTGAAGTTTTGGTTTTGTTTATTTTTTGGATGTGTGTGTATTCACTGTGTGCTTTTGCACAACTGTTTAGGATGGAAGAGCTACTGTAAACCAAGATACAAGACTGGACAACAGAATCATTGATCTGAGGGTAAGGAACGTGCAGTGCTGCAGGCTTGCCTGCAAATGTTTATTCTTCATATTTCTAATCCACAAAGTGGAAAAGTAATGGATTTGATGGAATTGTATTGTTGGCCAGAAGAAAAATAAACAATATGTTTTTGTGGTTTTGCATGGTATTGTAAAAGCACAGGATTTTTGAATCCTAAATGTTCACCTTGACTGACATGAATTAAAGAACATATTGGTAGTTCAAAGGCAAACACTGATGATTTGACATGTGGCTGTGTATATCTGAGCTTTTTAGCTGCAAAAGTCAAAGATGACTCAATAGGGACAATTTAGAGACAACATTTTTTCTCAGATGTAGTTTCTGTTATCCAAAACCTGTAAAGAGCTCAGTTTTGAAGAATAAGATGGAAGTTCTGAATTTTAACAGTTGAATTTTAGCAGTTGAGGTGCTGTAATGCATACCTTGCCAGAGAAATTGTACCAGGACATGGTACCAATTTCATTCTCTTTTTTTCTTCTACAGCATTCATGTATTTCCCTTTTTTTTCCTGAAGCACCTTTCTTTATCCAGGTCCTAGAGACCCAACCTTCTGTGAATTCCCAAACCTCCCAAATATTTGCCATTTCTGATCAGCAGCAAAAGACTCTCTACTAAATTACTTACAGAACTTTAATTCTTTTTTAATGAAACAGCAACTAACATTAAAGCATGTAACTAACTAAACAGTATTATCTTGAGGCATCCTGGCCTTTTCCTAGGCTTTTTAGCCATTTTAGGCTCTCCACAATAAAATTTTAATCAACACTGAATGAAGGCTGTGCTTACCTCATTTTTTTGATACCTAGAACTGCCTTCAGAGTTCTTGATAATGGCAGTTTCTCAGTAAATCAGTCTTTGCACCTGAGAAATGAAACAAAAAAGTCATTTATTGGAAAATTTGGAAGAGTTCTGGCACTGAGATACGTATATTTTTTCAACATCTGATCTCCTTATTTCAGCAACTAAAACTACTTGTGTCAATTGTTTTACTTGTACCAAAGTTAATTGCTTTTCACTTGACCTTATGTATAATACTGAGTAACTTCAGTCTGTGGTTACTTTTCAGGGTGCTCACTAGCTCATCATATTGGTCTCTTAATCTGTCTTAAATTAAGCATTTAATGAAAAGAATTCTATACTAAGGATTTAAAGTGAAAATCATTTGAAGGATCATCAGCTTTGGTAGTGCTAAGGCAGTGTACTGAATTGAAGGGGAAAAATCTGGGGTGCTTGAACTGCAAGTTTTACTTGAACATCTGGTGATGAGTAAAAATAAGCAACAGCACTCCAGAGAAACCTAAGAAAATTCATTATATTGAAGAAACACCTGTATAATAAACTGAAAGGAGCCATGAGGCCCAAAGAGAACAGAGAAATTATACAAAGGGAAATAACATTGAAAAATACCAGGTAAAAATGATTTGGAAGTGTCCTTGGTTGTAATGCAGTTGAGGGCATCTGCAGGGCAAAGCCTAAGAAGGTAAATAGTAATGGAAAAAGAAGGAAGACTCATGCTAAAATAAACACAAGAGGTGGAATGGAAAGAGCTGAACTGAAGTTCTTCTGCCCCCATATACATCCATTAGTTCAGCATGACCCTCCCAATACTGAAATAATCTTTGCCAGTACAGCAGTAGGGCATTAGTTGTCAGTATTCAGCCTGGAAGGTGCAACTGCTGATGCTGTAACCTCTTCTGTGTCCCAACCACTGTTGGGACACCCTTTCCTCAGCAATGTCTAGCACCTTGTTTTGAGCTCTGAACCTTAACTCTGTGTTAAGAAGCTGTTTTTCTCCTTAGCTCCAGCAGCTGCTGCAGTGTGGTGCTAAGCAGCTGTTCCATGCTCAACAGCAATTGAGCTTTTCACAGACTTTGTGAAAGGATGAAATGCCAGATCTCAGTCCTGCAGTGTCTACATCTCATCCTCTGCATACATCTGTGGCTGGGTGTGATCTGGCCACAGCTTGCCCATGATTAGGCTTGGCTATCTGTCTTGCTTTCCTCCTCTGCACAGGAAAAGTTTCTGTCTCAGACTGTGTCACATTTCTGTGTTTCTTTTCTCTTGCACCTTTCATTATGGGTTTCAGAACAAAAGCAGATTCTAAATATGTGTTACTTTAATCTGTTTTTTAAAGGGGAGTGCTAAATAAGCAGAAAAGATATTTAATGAAGAAAGGGGAAATTTCAGTGAGAGCACATGGCATTTATATATATATATGTGCATCCTAAGCACTGTATATGTAGTGGAATCACTAGAGTAGGAATGCAAAGAAACCCAGAAAGTAGTAACTGATTTTCAGTGATTTGGTTCCATAGATTGGAGCTACTGGAGTACAAATGGGGCTTTAGTGTTTCAAATGCACTGCATAAGTAGGCATGTCCTAAGGAGGATTGCAAACATGATGTGTTATCTGAAACATTGCTCCCACAGCTGTTCCTTTTAGGAAAACCATATCATGGGCAACAGGGAAAAATATTAACAGGATAGTTCTAACAGAGATGCTGTGATGATCTGTTCCTGCAAGTGTGGGAGGAAGTCCAGCCACAGATAAATTATATCAGCTAGTTCTGGTTTCCTCAGTGCCCCGGTTTTTTAAGGAAGAAGGAGGTCACCGAACATCAAAAATAGGGACACTGTTATTTTGAGAAAGACTTACCAAACTAAATGCATAGATCTTGGTTAGGCTCAGACTAAAAGAAGTCATTTGTATGCAGCTAAAATTGTTTTTGTCAATTTAAACACAGTATTTAAAGTAGTTAAGTAATTAGCTAATTTTAAATAGTGATTAACGGAGGAGTTAACTGGATAGGGACAAGTCATGATAAAATGGAGCTGGGAAGTTCAGTTATTAACATGAATGAAAAAAACTGGATTTCTGAAAATAGCATCACTCCATCCAGCTATGATGTATACCAAGGGAGGTTTGATGATGATGCAATACAAGGAGTGTAATTAATAAGGAAATTACAATTGTGGAGATGAAAGATGCAAAGTATGTTGCAAAGATTGCAAGACTTCCACTCTTGTGTACATGTGGAAATAGACTGAGTATTGCAATTATTAACAATCTTCTGTTAACAATTTTGTTTGCTGGCAAAGATCTCTCAGAAGTGTCTGGTAGTTTAGTTTCTTTAGGGTTGGGGACGGAAAGTACTTAAATGGCAAGATGCCAAGCTACTGCTGTAGTTCTTATTGTGAGGTATGGAGAGAAAATGGTGATTATTTAGGGCTAAAGAGTTTTGAAAATCATTTCCAAAGAATGATTACTGGAGAAGAATGAGCTTGTTCCTGGTGGGTTAATTAATAAAATACACATCACACCTTTGGAGTAGAAAAGATGGGGTTTTAGAGAAAAGAGAGCTTGTAAGAAGAAAGAAAAGTCCTTGTATAGATTAGATTTTTTTTCAGATAACCACAGGTGACTGTGAGGAAATCACTGTTGACCTAAGTATCTGTTTGTCACAGTGGCTTTCACCTGATCATAGAGATGTTTGATTTATCATTCACTTATCACAACAGTTCAAAAAGGCAAAGTAGAGCATGACTGTGTTTTAAATCTTTACTTTTCTGCTGTTCTTAAGTTTCACTGAAGTATTTGGTGGTGTGTAGACTTCCATGTCTGTAAAAAGACCTGCAGAAACTGTATTTCATGATGTTCTGTAGTACATGAAAAGTAATGAAGAAAAGACCAGTGAAACTCTGATTTTTGTAGTTTACTTCTTAAAAATACCAATTCAGGTGAATTCAGTTTTACATTGTTTAAAAAAACAAACAAACAATTAAAAGACCAGTGAAAGAAACACTAATTCTTGGGTTTTACTTCTCAGTTTGTCTTTGAAAAAGTCTGAAGAAAGAAACAATTCAAATTCACCCAGGTTTACAATGGACATGAGTGATGTCCTTGCTCTGGTTTATTTTTTATGTTCAGCAGGACTTTTATCTTAACAGTATCTGTCCAAATGTGACTTGAATTATATGCCTTTTTGCAGTCCTGTTGCTACAATTGTGTCTGCTAATGCCCATCTCATTGAGACCAAAGCAAAGCCATTTAGGGTCAGTATTACCCTGTTTATACTGCTCAGGGTAGAGCATTAACGTTAAACTGTATCTTCAATAGTTTATGGATGTCAGACTGTGTTATGTGATAATCCAGCTGTACACTGATCTTAATGCACTTTTTTTCCAAATACTCAATTACTTCAAGCTTGATTTCATTGTGTTGGATTCAATTTCCTCATTGCAAAAGCTGTGTTTTTCCTGACTGAATCCAAGCTGTAATGAAGAAGCATGTACAGTTTATTTTCTTCTGTGCAGTGATTTGGCAGTGTGTGCATACACAGTCCCAGTCATTTAGACTACAAACTCCATGTTCATATATTCTTGTACTATAAGTAATACTAAAACTTGAGTAAAAGTTGACTTCAGTCACCTGGGGAGTTAAAAAATGTTATTTAAGATAAATTCTGTTTCCTAGCAAAACTTGAATTTCTCCTATATATAGTGGAATATATAAAGAGAGGAATTGCAAAATTAGTTACATTGTTTAAAATAATGTATATTACTTAGAAGAATATAGATTACATTATTTAGCCAACTATGTATTTGTTCCTGGTTGTTCCTGCTGGAAGACAGGTAGCTACAGCAGGCAAACAGAAAAGCAAAAATGAGGGCAGAACAGAAGAAATTCTGTAGCTGGTGTGAGAGTAAAGAGAAAGTTCACAACTTTTCATGTCTGTGCGTCGGTCTCACCTCTCTGAGATATGCTCATGTTGGTGTGAACTGCCCTCAGTTCCACTGAAAAACGTTTGGCAGTACACATGGCTGCTGTTCTGATACTGCAGCTTGTGCTAAATGAAAAGTGATAATTGTTTTTGTAGTCATACAGTGCTCAGTTTTATCATAAATATCTTCCTTCATGCCATCTGAATAATAAACACACAGGTGAAATTGGAGTGAGGTTATGACTGAAACTCATACTTCAGCATTGTTCTCTAAACTCTTCTGCTGTCTGTGACAAAGGTGATTATTTAAAATAATGAGTTTTTTCTGTAAAATTAACTTTGCAGGCTGAGTTAAAATATTAACATTGTTAACTGCAACAGCATTTAAGTGTCACAGATTTGTTCCTGTTTCTGATTAATTCTTGAAGCAATATTGACTATCTTTGCCATAGTCTCAGATAAGATAGTTTGTCAATATGTATGTGGATGGGTTCCTGTTGAAGTGAACACTACACAAAAAAAATGTCATGGCAAAATCTTATTTTAAGGTAAAGGTAGAAATCATTTAACTTTGACGGCTGTCTCTGTCTTTAATTTTCTATATTGTACCTAGTTGTGGAAGCTCAAATTGTGACTGTGTTACTTACCATTGTACAAACATTGCTATATATACCAACATCTCAGTTACTGAATTTTCTTCAAATGAATTTGTTCTCTTTGTGTTCTGAACATCACAACAGTGCAAAGAATGTTATTAAATCTGAAAAGATTTTTCTCCCTTTTTAAAATACTTGGAAATTGTCGTGGCACAAAAACCTTTCGAGGTCATTGATTTGACTCCACTGCAGATTGTCGGATTCAGTTCTTTAGGAGCTTGTATCAGATGTCTTGTGGGTCTGTTTAATTCTTACAAGGAGACTGCAGTGTCACTAATCCCCAACAGTCATCCATGTTGGCAGTCTCTGAATGAATGGACACTGAAACTCAGACACTTTTGGTGACAGAGGAGTGGTGTTGTCAGATCTAATTTGCGGTATGGAGAATTGCTGCTTGTTCTTGGTCTGCAGTTAAATAAAAGCTTCACTATCCAGTTCTGTGAATTTGGCTGCTTTCATAAATGCTGTTTCTAAGCATAACTTACCATTTATAAATGGCTTAGGAAAACAGAATCCTTGCCCTGCATCCTCACAAAGGACAGAAGGAGTTACTGCCTGGCGAACCTTTGTTACTGGAGAGCTGTGTTAGGTATTGACTGGCTGTGTTTCTGTGCACAGTTTTAGGTCAGGCCATGTAATTCCTTCCAGGCTGGGTTTAGCAACCCATTTTCTTTTTCCTGGGGCTGTTTAACTTACTTCTGCATTCTCACCTGCTCTGGCATGAAACTGCTGTTGGTTCACACCAAGGGTGGAAGATGCACTGTTTCTATCCTGCTTTATGTTAATGTTACATGTCTTATCTAATTGCTAAGAGCAATTTTAGATGTGTCTAGTTCATCAGAAATTTTATTGGGAATCTCAAATGTGACTTAAAGTTGTCAGCTCTTTCACCTGTCAAGGACGAGATGGTTAAGAAGAAAAAATCCCTTTGAGTCATCCTGCTACTTGGATGTAACACTGCCAAATTATGTCCATAACTCAGGCAGAGTCTTACCATATGTCTGGTTTTGGGACACCAGTGTGAAAAAGGTGAAAAACTTTTAGGGTACTTTTGTAACTGTTGCTCAAAACCTCATTTCCTTAATTTTGAACATTTTCAGTAGTGCTGTGGTCTGTCAGACGTGGTTTATCAGACAGTGAGATCTGCTATTATTTACTAGTCTCAACCACTTACCCACTTGAAATATTTCATTGGTCAGCTGAAATTGGTCAGCTCCAAATAGCTACAGATCTGCAGCATTATTGCAGTTTTCTCTTTTGGTTTGTTGGTAAGGGGATGTCTTTATCTTGCAGAGATGATGAATGTAGCTTTATTTCAGCATTTCTACTGTCTGTCTGTCTGTCTAAATTTGGCTGCTTATATAATTCGTTTTGGTTGGGGGTTTTTTGTTTTGTGGTTTGGTAGAAGAGTCATGTGAAAAAGCCCACAAGGCCTTTCTTACCCTAACTGAAGAGCTGAGTGCTGTTCAGAAAGAGAAGTAAACAGTGCTGTGACGCAGGTTTGTCGTACAGAACCGTTCTCTTATTCGTTGGCAGGAACTCGTTGGTCTTTTTGTACTCTTTTAGGGTGCTCACTGTCACGTTTGAGATGCTGAAAGCACAAAATCAGATATGGCTTCAGTGCTGATGCCTTGCAGTCTTTGCAGCAGTCACTGAGGTGGTTGTTTTACTCTTCATGCCAAAAGTGTTCCAGGAATGTTTAGTGAAGGTGTTTGCTAACCCAGATGAGCAGCTCAATTGTGTCACGTGCATAAACAAAAAGAAAATTACCAATTCAGTTAAATCTACTTCTGTTTACAGCTACCTTTACTTTTGAAGTATGTTAGGAAAAAGAAAAACAAAACTGCAGTTCATATCAACAGGTGTTAATGTGGGCTGCTTAAATGTTGAAGTGTAGACCTTGGGTTTTGGATGTTTGTGGCAGTGTTGTACATGGTTAATATGTGGCTGTGTTTTTTCATAAAAAACATTGTATTTGGTAGCCTTTAACAGACAGACATTTCTACCTTACGTAAGTTATTAATGGCTTTGCTTTTATCATGCACTGTGTATTCTGCAGCTGTTCTAGTTCAGTGTGCTGAAAGCTTTTTAATAGATTCAGTGTTTTTATTCAATTTCTTGCTATAAAACCTTTATTTGCAGAAGCATATCTCATAAATCAGATATTTTTTAAAATGCAGAATTGACCATAGTGCCTCGTTTATAACTGAATATGCTATAAATTGAAATTAATAATTTCTCTGGTGTGCTTTCCTGTTTCCTTCTGTGTAACAGACAATTACAGATTCACACTTTTCACTGTTTAGGCAGATACGATAATCAGGTATTCCTGAGGGAAGGAATTCATCCTTTCAGCTGTCCAGAAGAAGTAGTAGAGTCAGGAAAAACTAACATAGGATTCATTACTTTATCTTCTTCTTGTAGACCTCCACTAGTCAGGCAATCTTCTGCCTTCAGTCTGGTATTTGTCAGCTTTTCCGAGAAACTCTTATTCGCAAGGGATTTGTGGAAATTCAGACTCCCAAAATCATTTCAGGTATTGTATATGTGATCCAGCAGCTACAGGTGTGCTTTTTTTATAGTTGCTCCATGTACCTATCTGTACCTATCTTTTATCTGTAAGTATAAATGTAGTAAGTTTTTATTTAAAAAACAGAAATTTTCTTTCTAGCTTAGATGCAACATAGCAAACTTCTAGCAGGTGTCAGAGTTGGTCTCTACTTCTTTCCTGACATAGGCTATTAAAAGAATGACAAGAAAAATTATATATTGCTGCCTGATTTATGTGGTTTGCAGTGCATATGAATGTTTAATTCTGATCATATGAATTATTTTTCAAATCAGTGTTCTCAGTGTTGAGCACAGTCTGTTCCATTCTCAGTATTTAAAAAAAACCCACAATTTAATTTAGATTAAAAGCACATTCCATCATAAAGATGTTGCAACAAACATAGAGTATAAAATATGATGCCATTATATGGGGCAATTTGTCACTTCTTTAGCAATGAGAATGTGGCAGAATAGAAGGTGGTAGACCTTTTTCTCTTTGGAAATGTGGAATAACAACTTCAGCCAGAAGGTCTGAAATGTAGATTTTGCTTCTAGTCTTTTTGATTTGCTGTATTGTTTTCAAAAGTCCAATGGCTTAATTTACTGATGAAGGCTTTTCTTCCATTTCTTTGGTGTTATATGAGGTTTTGTTGATGCCATTAAGATACATGGCATGGGAAATCAGAGCAGAACATTTGTGTTAATGTATTATTGTATGTACATTCATAAAGTGCACGTCTTGCTTACAGAATTTTGTGCTTCTGTATTTATATTTTGGAAGACATCTCTTGGCTGAGATAAAAAGTGAGCTTTTTAACAAAATGCGTGTAAGCAGCTGTTCTTTCAACATGAAAAGTGTCGTTGAACTAGAAGATTGGATGACTTTTTCCTATGGAGTCAGTTATATAGTAAAAGGCTCCCAAGGAGTTTATTTATGTAGGACCTTTGAGGAAGTGTGCAGTGTCCCATTGAAAGAGAACAAGCATCACATTGTTTGGATGAGATCATATTTTGTAAAATTAACTTATTTAAGTCAATGCAATCCTTACTGTACTTCCAATTTAAACATCATAACTTGTTTAATTTGAGGTTTTTAAAAGTTACCTGTGTTAGGCCACTGCACTCACGTCACACACTGGGAATTGGCCAGGTGAAGTGATGCAGTTTTGGTAGGTGCTTTGCAGTAAGGGAAATGCATGTGATCCTTGTTCTTGTAGCTGTCTATGAAAATTGCCTCAAACTGAGAAAAAGCTTTATAGCTTTGGCTCATGCCCTCTGGTAAATCTGGGATTGGCTGTGAGAGGTATTTATGCCTTCAGTTAGAGAGGGTGGTCCTGGCAAAACAGGATATGCACTTTGCTCTCAGGCTCTGCAAAGAACCCTGGACAGCCTGAGCCACTGGCAGAGATGGGTTTTCACAGAATTGTGGGGGTGCAGGTACATGTGTTAGTATAGATAAGTATTCTCCGCTGTTCTCACTCTAAGGTGAAGGTCAGCTGAAATAGAGCATTTTAAACCAACCCAGATAAATTTGCAGATTTTCAAGACAAGGTGTGACAGTCCTGAGCTGCAAAATTTACCTTGCCATGAATGGACAGATGGATGTAAATATATCTTTTTCCTCTAATATGCTTTGAAGAAAAATCTCTTTCTGATCTTTAAATATAAGACCAATAATCAATCTTTCATTCTACCTCTGACTGATTTTGTTATATTTTTATTTTAATAACTGCTTGATTTTATTTCAATAATTCCTTATAAAAGCACTTGCTTTCTAGCTGCCAGTGAAGGAGGAGCCAATGTGTTTACTGTATCCTACTTCAAAACCAGTGCCTACCTGGCTCAGTCCCCACAGCTGTACAAGCAGATGTGTATATGTGCTGACTTTGAAAAGGTTTTCTGCGTCGGGCCAGGTAAGGAAAGCTTTGCTTTATGCAGTGTGTGAAGTGTGTCCTGGTGGTTTTTAGCAGCTGTGGTACAAGATAACACACACACACACTAAAGCTTTGAATCATTTCACTTGGTATAGTTTCACTTGCCAAACCAAATTTCAGTTGAGGCAAGTGATGACAGTAAAGTTGACAGAGAAGTCGCTGTACATGTTGCTGAACAACATTACTTAGAACAAGCTTACTTTTAACTGTCAGTAAATAATAAAAAATGAATTATTTCTTGTCCCATGCTCTCTTTTTAAAAGCTGGTAGGACATGGCCTCTTTAGGTGGCAATACAGTTTTCTTCAAAGACCTCAAATGGTTTAAAGATGCTTAAGATCTAAATGCTGAAAACAGGTCAATAACGGATAATAAAAAAAAATTCCAGGTAAGTCAGAAGGTCTTAAATTTCTTGTTAACCACTAACAGATGAGTCATGGTTTATAGGAAGGCGTGTTTATTTTAGACTCATGTACCTATCCCAGAAGACACACACGTGTACAAGTCCATTTCCTCAGAAAAAAGCAGTTTTCAAATCTGAAAGTTCTTGTGTTCTTCAAAGCTTGTCTGTTTTTTCCATTTGTGTCTGTCGGTCTAAGCAGAGATCCTGCCTCTCTATGGTTGTGTCTATCTTGTATCCTTTGAGTATCACAGCTGCAGTAATCCTGTCACTGTTACAAATGATGCTCTGAGGCTGCTTGTTATATCTGTGTCTTTCAGTGAGAATTTTCATGTCTGTAGTTCAAATGATTGTTATTTTTCCAACTGGAATGATAATTTCAGGTCAGTTAGAATTTCTGTTGTTTAATTTTACAGTATTTAGAGCTGAGGACTCCAATACACACAGACATCTGACTGAGTTTGTTGGTCTGGATATTGAAATGGCATTTAATTATCACTATCATGAAGTGGTAGATGAGATTGCAGATACCTTGGTGCAGATATTCAAGGGGCTTCAGGAAAGGTAATTAAAGCATTTCCTTCTTTTAATGGGCAATGTTGTTTGTTTGACATCTCTTGCACTGTGGAATGAAGTAGACAAGCCTTTTATCCTCAGTTTGTCAGGTAATCATTGATAGCACAACTTTGAAACATATTTTTGCTTTGCTCTTAACTGTTTCTTTGTGCCTGACTTCTAAGGTTCACTCAAGCCATAGACCAAGCCATAGACCGGTTAACTACTTTCAGCAACTCTCCTGGAGTATGTTGGCTGGCACTAAGAAACTTGATGTCTGCTGTTGAAAGGACTTCCTAAGAGAAATGATCCATCTTAATTTAAAATGTCCTTCTTTTTGTGCCACTACTGGTAGATTGTTCTATTTCAAAAATTATTTTAATGTTTACTATATAAGAAAGTTTTCTTGAATAAAAGTGAATGTACCAGCCTGCATTTGTTCCAAGATAACAGCAAGGATTATTTTCCGTTATTCACAGTCTAACTCATTAAAAAGCCAGGCTAGAAGTTTAGGAAGTGGTTGCCATTTGCTTACAAATTAGACTGTTTTGCCAGCAGAAATGCAAATCTTCGTCTGTCCAGAAGGAAATTTCTTATTTATATTTGAATATTACTCATATCGAAAAAGAACCGAGGTAAATACTACAAATAAAAGGGATGATTTCAGTGTCTTTTCTGTGCAAATTTGATCTAGTCGATTATTTCTTACAAAAGGGATTAAACAGAAGTAGTATTAAAATATTAACGTCAGTGAAGTAAGTGCATTAATTTTGTTGAAACAATTCATTACGGAATTTCTCCAGAAGTGGTTTTAATATAGTTTTTATGTTGCAAGAGGGACCTCTTGTGGCAAAATCACAAAATCATTATTAGGTGCAAGTTCTTGACTGTTTTGTATTTTGCTCTGTTCTTCTTTCTTTGTCTGTAGATTCCAAACTGAAATTCAGACAGTGAGCAAACAGTTCCCTTGTGAGCCATTTAAGTTTTTGGAGCCAACTCTGAGGCTGGAATACCGGGAAGGTGTGGCCATGCTTCGAGAGGCTGGTGTGGAGATGGGTGATGAAGAGGATCTCAGGTACTTGGCAAGACATAAGTGTCAGTCCTGGGAAAGTGGTAGTGAAGTGTCAGATTTGTACTGAGCACCTGACAGCCCTCAATAAGGAACCACAGCTTTTAGAGGAATAAACAGCACTTTTATCCAGATCTTTTGACAAGTAAATGAGTGGATGTGAAAATAATCCTTTCTTTTAACGTAGACTATAGGTACAAACTCTGAAATCTGACAGAAAATAAGTGACAACATAAGTGAGAGCAACTTGAACCTTCTAAGGAACTGTTTGTTTGTCCAGCAATTCAGTCCTTCATGTGAATTACAACGTGTCTTTGAATAGGATTAAACAAAAAGATTCTGCTGCCTTAAGGGTTTTTTTTTAAGTAACACCCTTCCATTTCTTCCTTCCACCTCTCAGGAAAGTGATTAAACAATCATGATGAATTCCCACTGATTCACTGAGAGATTGTTTAATTAGCAGTTTATATATAAACTTTACTAAAGATATTCAGTGAATTAAAACAGTTCTGTTCTTCCCCATAGTATATCCAGCACCATTAGGGTACTGTGTGATTTTAAGTTAAACGATCTATGCATCAAATAAATTTTCCATCATAAGAGTTTGATGAAGGAAAATAATTTCCTCAACAACTGTTCATGTGTTTCTCACTTACTGTGTCATACACAAGATGAATGGCAATAGGAAAAAGAGCACACAGTTCTATAGTAATCAGAATATGGTAACTAGGAAGAAGGCACATTGAGAGCAAGAATATTTTTAGGTAATATTACCTAAATATTACCTACTAGTTAATTTAAGGATTTCCAGGATTTGTTTCAAAGTATTTTGAAAGAAATAAATATACTTTATCTCTGCGATTTCTGTGTGCACAACCCAAAGTAGAAACAAGTGCTGGATTTTCTAAGGGTCAGGGTGCAGCAGCTCTGTAGCTTGTAATCTTTTGGGATTTGTGAAGTATATCATCAGTGCAAGTGTAAATCACTTCATTTTAATGATGATAATCTTTTTCAGCACACCTAATGAAAAGCTCCTGGGACGCCTGGTAAAGGAAAAGGTAACAATCATTTTAGAATAAATAAATTTGGCACTGAATCTGAAACCTGATAGTGGGGAGTCACAGGGTTGGTGTAAATGCCTACATGTAAACGGTATCTCAGAACATGCAGAAGAGTTGGTGATTACCATTTTTTAATTGACTGCATTCCCATTTTGGTGCTGTGTATTTCATCTACTGTCAGTTTTGTCTTTGTCATTAATAAGCAGTTTCAAACTATTTTCAATCTTTTATCTTTCTTTTTGTCATGTGTTGTACTGAGGACACAAAACAGGCTAGTATGTTCCAAAGCCACTTCTTAGGAGACTTTAAAAAAAAAAAGCAAACCACATTCTAATAAAATCTATAGGAGAAGATGAGATCTTTGTGGGTGGGGGAACCTACCTGTTCCAGCAACATTTTACTGTTCAGCATTTGTAAGTTTACACTAGAAATAGTATTGAAAAACTGAGAATGCACCACTTTTATTGATAACTTAGACAATATTGTCAGAAGCTATTGGAGTATTTTAAAATTTTATTTCAAAGATTCACTGGTTCTGTCTTTCTCTTTTATTTTCTGTTTTCTGTATTTTTATGTAGTTTTCTCTTGTACTAACTGTTCAAAATTACTTTTTCAGTACGATACAGACTTTTACATTCTTGACAAATATCCTCTTGCTGTGAGGCCTTTTTATACAATGCCAGACCCAGCCAACCCTGTAAGTAAAATTCCTTGTTGTTGTCAAATTGTGTTTTTTTACTTTTTTTTTTTTTAAGTTTAAATTATTCCGTGTAGGGATAATTTGATAATACAGGTAAAGTGAGAATCATAGAATCATTGAATGGTTTAGATTGGAAGGGACCTTAAAGATCATTTAGTTCCAGTTTTGCTGTAATTAAAATTATAATAACATGATCAGGTCAGGGTTACATGACTTGTCAAATGCGTTCAGTTTCTCTTCACTGGTGAAAACACACCAGAAAGAAATGAGCAAAAACTAGGAGAGGTTTATGAAGATATCTCCATGGTCAAACACTGCTGCCATCACTGAAAAGTGGCAAAAACATCCTTCCAGGCAGCAGACACTTTAGCAGAAAATAGGCTGTTTTTACAGCTTTGGATATCAGAAAATTAAGTTATTGAGAGGTAAATATTTGCAAACTATGGAATGAAGGTAGGAAATAAACTCCTTTTTGTGTTTCCAGAAAACCTCTAACTCGTATGATATGTTCATGAGAGGAGAAGAAATTTTGTCTGGAGCTCAGAGAATTCACGACCCCCAGCTGCTGACAGAAAGAGCAAAGCATCATGGCATTGGTAACATGGCAATTTAAAAGAACATAAGTTGTGACTTCATTTGTGTCCTTTAGAGGAAGAATTTGGGGCAGAATTTGTTATATGAGTAGTAAAATTAGAGTTCTGTTTCATTCTTACTGTTAATCCATCTAATTCTGTTTAACCATCTAGAGTGGGGTATTAAGAAACTAGTTAGTGTTCCAGCAACACTTTGTTGAATAGTTATTAATAAATAGTTGTTAATAAATTTATATAACAAAACTGTTACAGTCATAAATTCTAGATAGCTCTGGACAATTTACATGTTCAGTGAGTAAAACCCTACTGTTAGTTTGTAATTTTTTTGTTGTGCTTGTAGTCCTGCAGTCAATTGTCTGTTTGTCTTGGGGTTCATCAAGCAGGTGAGAAACCAATATTTTTCTTTTCTAGATTTGGAGAAAATAAAGGCTTATATTGACTCCTTTCGGTTTGGTGCACCTCCACATGCAGGTGGTGGAATAGGTAGGTATCTGGTTTTTGTTCAAAAAACAAAAGCTTAACTTATACTGCTCAGTCCAAAGCAGAGTTTAGTATAAAATTCTGAATAGTGATCTTGTTAGGTAAATCTGTGGGGCTGTTTATCCTGGAGAATTTAAGGAGAGAAGCTCAGACTTAAGGATCATCATAAAATAAATAGGCAAAATACTAATGGCGCAGTCTGGTGAGTTTAAAAAGAAGGTGATCACAAGAAAAAGTGCCACCTCACTTGCCAGCCACATCACTTTCAAATTTGACCAATGAGGAAAATCTAGAGGAAGCAAGAGAATAGTGTATTATGGATGGATTTATCAAAGTCACCATCATACCAGCAGCCACTGGTCTCTGTGTATTTGATGAAAGTGTTTTGCAGTGAGGAGAAATCAGTGATTGCTTCTTCATCTGTTTGGGAGCATGCAACATTTGCAGGTAATCCAAAGTAATTTAGGCCAGTCAGAACTGACATCAAAGAAGTTGAAGCTGCATCTTTCCTTCAGAGTAGATGATCCTCATGGCAGAGTACCAGTCAAACAGGAGATGCCACGAGAATTAACACTGGATTCAAGGTGTTCCAGGTGGAAACCTTAACATAGGAGGTGTGTGGAAAAAATCCACCCATCATGACTGGGGTGCTTACAGCCCCAAGGATTAGGAAATGCCTGCACAATGGGCTGTGTTCACACTGCTGTGTGAGACTGGCTGCAGCTGGGGAGGACCTGCAGCTCCTCTGGGGTTTGGAACAAAGACTGACAGTGCTGATGAGCTGTTTTCATCTGCTGTAGGGCTGGAGAGGGTGACCATGCTGTACCTGGGGCTGCACAACGTCCGGCAGACCTCCATGTTCCCAAGGGATCCCAAACGCCTGACGCCCTGACAGGAGCTGCTCTGAGAGCTGGGAATGCTCTGCCCTGCAAACAGGATCTGACTGCAGGCATAGCCCCTGCTGCTGGTGAACGTGTATTCATTAATTTGAGCATTATGATATGCAATTAAAAACAAAATTTTCCTTCATTAAAGTGCCACAGTAATTTTTTTTATCCTTAGTTGTTTATTTAAAGGAAAATATTTTAACAGATCAAGACTCTTTGTATTGGCAACTGCACATTTTTAATGAAAATAGAATACTTGAATTAGTATTTTAGTGTCGCATTAAATTGTACCATTTTCTAAACATTTTAATAAATTATGCAATAACCATTTTGCTTTTTTAACTTATGTCAGCAAGATTGAATATTCTGAAGTACTGACTCCAAGATAGTGACTGGATGCTTGCAATTTAAAAATCTAGAGAGACCAGCCAGTTGATAATTTACATGAGTGTCAGGTCGGGATGCAGGTGAGAACATTCTTAACAAGAAAACTTCGTAAGCAGTTGTTAAAATAGGTTGAAATAAAGCTCTCAAAGTAAATTAGATACAAATCTGTCTGTTTTTTTACTTAGTATACTCACAAGATAATCAATCAATAAGGCTTTTTTGGTTTGGTTTTTTTACTGATGTAATAACTGTCTAAATTTATTTTCTATCTTCCCATTTTTTTGAAAGTTATATAAAAGCCATAGGCCTGGTCTTTATTTTATGTTACTGCTTGAGAATAGTTGCAAGTTTACATATGCTCATGGAATACACAAGGGATACACAATATTTTCAGAAAATAAATGGACAGTGAGTTTGAGAGCAGGGTATGTGTTTTCCTGCCTGATCCAACCTCTGAGATAACAAACAAAACAAGGATTTCAGGCATCTTTTACCAAGGAAAAAAAAACCCAAATTATGTAACCGACTTATTTCAGGGTGTTTTTATTTAAAAATGCTGTGAACAGCCCAACTTCGTACACTTAGAGAAACTGAGTGTTTCTGTAAGTCAGAGTGTTTCTGAAATTCTTTCTACACATACTTTGTTTCAGATTATTCATTTACTTGAACTCCTCAATTTGCAGCAGTGCACAAAGCTACTTCTCATCCTCCTCCTCCCAAGCCAGAGATTTTCCCTACATTTTCTCCTATCTACTGGAGAGGCACCAGTGTATCTGAAACTTCCTTTTGTAGATTGCATCTGAGAGTTGGTTTTCAAATTTAAAACAGTTCGTAAGTCTTGCTGCCAAAGAGCAAAGAATTAAATTCCTGACTTCGGTACTGCAATAGTTGCATATTTGTAACTCCTGACTTAATTTTTCTTTAACATTTTACATGATTAAGCTTTCCAATAGGAGGTATAGTGTGGATGGTCTGTGTTATTGTTGCTACCTTGATTTTTAAATGTCAGAGAAGTCACATATTGGTTATGCTACAGAAAGGTCAGTGAGGCTGTGTATAAATTGTGTAGAGTTTCACAAAAGGGCAAATCATCTTTGCAGCTGCCATTGAACAAGACTTAATTTTAATGTCTTATGACAAGAGTTCTCCATTAGAAAACAATCATACTAAAGGTCAGTCAGGTAAAGTACTGGAAATGTAGAAGTTAAACTTTGTTTAGAAGTCACACAATTCAAGGAATAACACTTAGCAGCTTTGCTTATGAGTCTATTGTAATTAATTTACTGTGGAATCTTCCCCAAATTGTTAACTTGAAAATCTTACACTGTAACCATTTGTACTTTGCAAAGCTAAGTAGATTATAAACACAGCTCATTGTCACAGACTTTCTTCTGATGAATCCAAGTTTCAAAACAGTTGTTTATTTAGCTAAGCCAACTGGAATGAATTTAATTTAATTACCTTTGTTCATACAGAACCAGTAATATATTCCACTTCAGATGTGCATTCTTCTACCAGGAGCAAAATTACTGACTTAAATTTCCTGTCACCAAAAATAAATACCCTGGGCACTGTTTCTTGCTCTAGATTTGGCAGCAAGTGTGCATACATGCCTGTAACAACTGTGCTTACCAATTCTGTTAGGAGTTATTCAGATTCATGCTGCAGCTTGATTTATTCACAGTAACTGCACAAGAACAAGAATTTGGATAGAGGCCCCAATTCCTTTGTATGCTGAATCCTTTCATGCAGCCTTTCATAGCTAACAGAAAATAATTATGATCATAAATCAAAATGCATTTTTCCTGAATGTCATCTTAACAGGATACTTTAGTGGGAGCTGCAGAGTGTTAGAACTTAGTTTGAAGCCCTGCAAATAATGAATGTCTGGAAGACCTTTATGGTGTTTTCATAGGTAGCAAGTCTGCTGTAATAGTTCTGGAAAAGTAAAACCTGTACTGTGCTTTATTTCCAGTAACTTGCAGGAAGTTTACCAGTTTACAAGGAATCCTCATTGCTGCTGCCTCTCCAGCAGGTAAAACGGTTTTGGTTTTGTTTTCTTTCATTATATACAGATGGTAATTACAGCAGTGCAATTTTTTAAACTAAGGAACTATAAAGCATATTGGTTAGAATAGCCAGGGAATCTGTCTGCTCTAAACAAACACGAAGTTTCAGTTTGCTGCTGAAGTTTAACTGCACCGTTTTCCTGTGAAAACCCATCTGTGTTTGCTGAGCTGTCTGAACCTGCCCAGTGGGGAGGAGGACTCAGGCTGTTCTTTTGGCAGCCAAGTGCAGTCCTGGCTCCCCATGGCTGCCCACACCTGCTGGGATAACCCTGCTGGGGAGCACCTCACAGCTGCTTGCTCTCTTCCCAGTGGGCCAGGGCAGGAGGAAGGGAAAAGCAGGAAAACTTTGTGCTTTCACCTGGTGCCTGTCAATTCCAGGCATATTGGACACCACTCCATGTGAAAGCAAGTGATGGAGGAGAATGCCTTGACAATATCCATTGTGGAACACCATATGGCTGCCTTGGACTCTGGTTCATACTAGGGTTCCAGAAACTTCCTCAAACAGATTTTAATTATTTACTGTTTCTTCCTTGGGTAGTAGTAGATTCTTTTTTGAGAGAGGAATCATCTAAGTTGGATTATTTCTTTTAAAACAAGCCTCACAAACAGCTTGTACACATTTTTTTCCTATTCCATCTCATAAAAATGGAATTTACTCACCACAAGTGTTTTAAAAATTACCAAGTAAATTCTACAAGTCTCTTATTTTCTTTACCGTTTTGCAGTTAAGTCTCTGTTCACTATATGGCAAGTGTACTGTAACATGAACAAACACTGCTGCAGGAGGCTGCTGCTGCTGGCACTTCTGAAAGGGTTTCAAAACTGAAAAAGAGCCCTTAGCTGCCTTAATTACAGCAAAATTCCCAGTTTAGGCAGAGATTAATGACTTTGCAGGTGGCAGAGCAATTCTAAGCAATTTTTCATAGAAAGTGGTTCCTGCTGGCAGGCGCCATGTGCCAGCAGCTGCCATTCGGGAATGGCTGTCAGCCATGGCACTGCTTGGCAAATGTTGCCTTCAACCATCCTACAACGGTGCCAATAAGGAGCCAAGTGTCCAGACTGTGGCCTGACTGTCACCTGGTGTAGTTTACACCCTTTCCACCTGGGCCAGTTCTTCAGAAGCTGGAGATGCTCCATGGCATGGGGTCTCCTCAGCAAGCAGCTGCCCAAGTGCCTCCTGCACAGATTGTGGGGATTCCCTGGCTCAGGGATTCCTCTGCAGTGCCCTGGCCACACCACAATAATTTTAACTCCAGCTACCATAGCTGATTTCTTCCTGGGGAAAGCAGTGCCATGTGGAAGCTTCATTGCAGCATGGAGATTCTGATTCCCCAGCATAAGAAGGACATGAAACTGTTGGAGCAAGTCTACAAGGGGGCCACGAAATTGATAAAAGCAGTAGAACACCTCACCTGCAAAGACAGGCTGAGAAAGCTGGGGCTGTTGAGCCTGGATCAGAGAAGGTTGGTTGGAGACTTCATACCAACCTTCCAGTATCTGAAGGGGCTACAGGGAAGACTTCGTCAAGAACTGTAGTGACAGGACAAGGGGAATGGAGACAAATTGAAAAAGGGGAATTTAAAAGAGGCATTAGGAAGAAATTCTTCACAATAAGCATGGTGACACAGTGGAAGGGGTTGCTTAGGGAGGTGGTGGATTCCCCATCCCTGACAGGGTTCAAGACCCGGTTGGATACAAGGCCCCGAGCTACACGGTCGAGTGGGTGGTGTCCCTCACATGGCAGGTGGGTTGGGACTAGATGATCTTTAAGGTCCCTTACAACCCCTTAGCATTCCATGCCTCTGTTTCTCAACGGGAAACAACCCCTTAGCAGTCCATGCCTCTATTTCTCAACGGGAAACATTGTGGCAGGGTTCTAAGCCATCCGCAGCACTGAGTAGCTCGCTGACAAGCCCACAGCCGGCTCCGTTCGCTGTCGCTGACATCACAGCTCGGGGCGGGCCGCTGCTGCCTCAGAGCCCGCCCTCAGCCCTGCCCGCCCCTCGCCTTTGGCGCGAAAACGGCCGCGGGGGGCGGGGCTCTGCGGCACAGCGCTCGCCGATTGGTCGGCGCGGCGGACGCGCGGCCCACGTGGTGCGCGGTGTGGCGCGAACCGCTGTGGGGCCGGGCCGGGGCAGCGATCGGGATGGATCTGGCAGTGGCGGCCGTGGGGGGCGCGGGCGCCGCGCCGCAGCACCAGCAGGTCCGCGATGAGGTGGCCGAGAAGTGCCAGAAGTTGTTCTTGGACTTCCTAGAAGAGTGAGTGCCGGGGGCCGGGCCTGGCGGCGGGCGGGCAGGGCCGGCAGAGGGTGGCGGGCCGGCAGCGTCTCACGGAGGGGCCGCCATTTGGCGAGATCATGTCGGGGCCTGGTGCCCCCTCTCCTTGGCGTTCAGCTGGAAAAGCTCTGCTGTGGTCTCAGGCCCTGCCTGGAGAAACTTGTAGGAAGGTAGCACTCCTGGTACGCAAAACCCTTCTCGGAGAGTTTCCGTGGAAACGATGCCCAGAGAAGTTGGGATGTCCTGGAAGTGTCCAAGGCCAGTTTGAATGTGGCTTTGGGCAGCCTTGTGTAGTCGAAAGTGTTCCTGCCCATGGCAGGGGGTTGAAACAAGATTATCTTAAAATCCCTTCTAAACCAAATCATTTTATGGTTATATGATTTTTTTAGGTGCATTTGGTCCCTTTTAACAAAGTTTTGTCACAGCTATGTTGAAAACCCTTTCCACGGCTTGGGTGTTACATGTTAATACATCTGGCTCCCTGAGGGGCCCATCCACATCAAATAAGGAAACCATTAACATCACTCAGAGGAAACAAAACCTTGTTTGCTGATGCAGAGCCATTGTTAAACCTTAAATGAAATTTTGTCTGGCACTGGGACAACTCTCCTGCTATATGAAATGTAAACCCGGTGTGTCTGTGCTAGGGTGTGGATAGAGCAGATGTAGCAAGGGGGTGGAAGAAGAAATATTGCTGGAAAAGGGCTTTGCAAGGGGCTGTGAGATGCCTGAATGTGAGTGATCCTTTTCTCTGTCTTTTCACCTGAATTCAAAAGTATTCATTTGCTGCCTGGTGTATGACTGTGAAATGTGTT